TTCAAATTTTCTTCCACATCAACAATTGGCACTTCCTTAGCTCTAAGCCAATCTTGTGTGCAAAGTAACACTTGAACCATCTTCAATACAAAAATATTACACAAATATGTATAAACAAAGTCATATTAAGATATAAACAAACTTGATTTTATAAAATAAAAAGATAACGATGCATTACCTTAGGAGTTAAAGAACTCCGAAATGGATCTAGAGTACGACCTCCCGTACTAAAAGCAGATTCCGATGCAACGGTCGACAATGGGATGGCTAGTATGTCACGTGCCATGCGATTAAGAATCACATAACGCTGACCATTCTTACCCCACCATGTCAATGCATCTTGTTCTTCCTCCTCTGGCCCTAATTGATCATTTAAGTACCTATCCAACTCACTTATCGCATACCCACTTGTCCCCTTCAATCGTTTTGCTCTTTCTTTTAGTTTCCTCACATAATCGGAACCCACTCCTTTACTATTATCAATATCCATTAACATATTATCTCCACAATCTGGAATATTAGAAGTAGCATACATTTTTCTATATTCCTCAAATAAAGAGTAAGCGAACTCCTTCACATCATTAGCAAGTTTTGTACCCTTTTCCGGTCCATGCATATCCGTTAGTGTCAATTCAACAATGACCATCGTAGAGTGAGGGTCGAGAAGAAGAGCAACATAAATGAACTTATTCATCTTATCCACATCCCCCCAATACTTATCAAACTTTTTTTTCATTGCAATGGCCATGGCTTGAAAATTCAAGTCCTCACTTTGTTCCCAATTATTCAACATATCATACATAGAAGCAATTTCTCCTAAACCTTTATTAGCTGTCACATAATGGGAACCAGAAATTCGTTTAGTTAACAGATAAAACCCCTCTAGAAACAAAACCAACCTCTCCACTTTTTCCCAATCTTCGGGTTCGGGAGGCCTTTCATTGTCATTCAAATCCTCTCCATCAGGAAGAGATAACCCACTAAAAACACGTCGAAACTTCAAAGCCGTTTCCAACATTATGTATGTGGAGTTCCAACGAGTGGGGACATCAAAGGATAAAGAAGATTTTGAATCTATGTTTGCTTTTTGCACAAGATCTTTGAATCTAAGTATTCTTGCAGGGGAATTCTTAACATATTTCACAGCATTTCTAACTCTATCAATGCACACACCATGTTCTCTAATACCATCCCACACAATTAAATTAATGATATGAGCAATGCATCTAACATGAAGATTTTTTCCATCATTTATACATCCTGTTCTTCTAACCATTCTACTCAAGTGTGCACAAGCAACATCATTTGAAGAAGCATTATCAACAGTGACAGTAAAAAGTTTATCATCAATACCCCAATACTCTAAACATGCCTCAACTGCTTTTCCAATAGCCTCTTCTTTATGACTAGAAATTGGACAAAAATTTATGATCTTTTTATTCAATTTCCAGTCATTATCAATGAAATGAGCTGTAAGACACATATAATTAATTCTTTGTATTGAAGTCCAAGTATCAGTGGTCACAGAAATTCTTTGACATGTCTTAAACATTTCTCTCAATTTCTCTTTTTCACTATAATACAACTTTAAACAATCACGAGCAATGGTAACACGAGATGGAATGTGAAATTGTGGACATGCAACTTGCACAAAGTGCCTAAAACCGGGTTTTTCCACATGCTTAAATGGTAACTCATCAACAATAATCATGTGAATCAATGCCTCTCTAACATCATTCAAGTTAATAATCCTACTCCCACACTTTAATTCACTACTCTCATGTTCTTGATCAAAATACAATTTAGTTTGCTTTTCTTTGCCCTTTTCTTTTTCTATATTAATAGGATTACCGAGACATGATTCTACATGGTTTTAAACATTTTTTTGAACCATTAAGATTACCATCAGCAGCAAAAGTTTTAGGACAGAACTTACATTCAGCTCGTAGTTTTCCATTCTCGACGTACTCTAAGTAATATTTCCAATACTCAGCTTTCCTCTTACTTTTTCTGTTCCATATATATTCCCGCCCCGCTTTTAGCTTCTTATCAGGAGGCAAAGTAGATTGAAATTCTTCCATATCCTTTTCAGAAAGTGGATGTGACGTTTGTTCAGAAAAAGAAGCAGACCGTTTGGATTGAGAGCTCTCCATCTACAATATAATTATATACAATATAAGTAATTTTAAAGTAACAATTATATACACATACCATTTTATAAAAAAATTTAAGAGCAACTTACATTGCAAGAATAAGAATCCGTGGTTCCTTGACTTCCTTCACTCCTTGCAAGAATAAAAACAAAAATAAGAACCCCTGAACTACACACAGGTTAGCCAACTTATTTAATCTTAATAATCTGAGTCCATACTTTTAGCAGCCTAGCAGGAATAAACACAAATTTTAAAGTATAAGTTAGCTTAAAAAGTGTCCATATATACACATTAGAAATATCAATACACATTAGAAATACTTTCAACTTTCTGAAATTTATGTTAAGAAAAAAATGAGAGAACATTATAAACCTTTAACTTCCATTTAAAAGGTTTCAAAAAAAATAAAAAAATAAAAAAAAAAAAACTACAGTGAAGAGGGTTTAAGTATTTCATACAAGTTTTTCAAATGTAAATAGAGTTTCTTGTCCAATTCTCCTTGAATTCATACCTTATAAATTAATGATGCAAAATTTTAACATTGGGAAAAATTGTTTTCCACCATTCACAAACCAAACAAAGAAAAATGGAAAAGATGAGAAAATTATTTTCCAGGAAAACATTTTATCTCAAACCAAAACTAAAGAACAAACAACTACAAACAAAAAACTTGTAGGTTTAAACTAAACTACTACAAACTGGAAAAATAAAGTTAGGTAGAAAACTAAAGTTGAGTTCGGTTGAAAATGTGCACTTAGTGGCATATTACGTCATATAGGATCCACATAGGAATTTCTTCGATGCCAATTGATAATGTTTTAACTTTTAAAAGGGATGACACCAGCTGAAGGTCATAGGTAATAACATGTTCCAGCACTTGCATTTAAAAGGCGGATAGCAGGGAAACCGTAAACTCAACAACCTCGCATTCTAAAAAATAAAAATCATCATTCTTCTAAAAAAACCCACTAAAATATGCCTGAAAACAGTCAAAAATCAAGAAGTTAATTATTTTGAACTAAAATGGATCCTCTTAATTATCATCAATATGTCTAGGCCAGAAGTTTTCCTCTTCTTTTCCTCTTATCCCTCCTTACAAAGCCTCTTCAAACTTACCTTGCTTACTGCAGCATTGATCCTTTTCCTTGTATTATCCTTCAAGACGTACTTATATAAGCTTGATAATTGCTACCTCATTATTCTATGGATCGAATTGGTAGTGCAGTATGGGCAAAGGCAACACTTCCCCCTCATTACCACCCTCGTATTCTCTTTCATCTGTCCAGCTCCTATATTTCACTACTTTTACCCTTCTATCATACTCCTCTGTATTTGGCCTTCCTTCAAGATCTTAATCTGTCGGGTTTTTTGCTGCAACAGGACCAACAATAGGCAAAACCAAGCACCCCATCTCCACGCCCGACAACCCCATCAACATTCACAATTTTCCATCCAGCCATCCCAAAAACCCCAGCTCACCACCCCAACCCACCCCACCCCACCCCACTGCCACCCCTTAACCCTTAACCCCCACACACCAGAACCGTACCACCGTAACCCCACCATAACCCCACCCCAACCCACCCTACCACACAAATTTTCGCACTAAATTAATCTTAATAATCATGATAAACACAAAATTTCAAACTAAATTTCACACTTGAACCCTAAACCCTAAACTTCTTAATTCTTATGAACCCTAAACTCAAAAAAACCAAAAAAAAAAAAAACAGAAATTCGAAAGAGATGAACTAAAAATAAGAAATTCAACATGCAAACATCAAACAATCATTAAAAGCAATTGAAAATTTGAAACAAGAATAAACATATAAATTCTCACACTTAATTTATTATTTCGAATTAAAAATACCAAAATTATAAGCAAATACTTACCAGATATTATCGGTGTGCATCGCCTGAGAGAATGAGGGAGGTGTCGGCAGTGGGCGGTGGCCGGAGCGAGTTGGGACAGCCGGACAGCCGCGTTGAGAAGTTGAGATTGAGGGAGGCTGAGAGAATCAGTTTGGGCTTAGGGAGTTAGGGTGAGAATTGAGGGAGGCTGAGAGAATCAGATATTTTCTTTTTTTTTTTTTTTTTTTTTTTTTTTTTTTTTTTTAATTACGATTTTCCCGGGTTTCAGGTCCGGACCTGAAAACCCCGGGTTTGGACCGGGTCCGGACCGGGACCGGGAACCTGGATTTTTAAGAACCGGGACCGGACCTGAATCAACAGGTCCGGGTCAGGTCCGGTCCGGTTCAGATCGGTTCAGGTCCGGTTTCAGGTCCGGGCCAATTTTTGTACACCCCTAACATGAGCTATGTTGACTTGTTTCGTGTATCGATTTGCATATTCACAAGTATATCATTTTCAACAAAAATTATCGTTTGATTTAAATTCCAATATTTTGTATTTATCTCATCAAACACGTTTTATCTGGTGAATACATAAAACATTCATCTAATTTTGTTGAAGTGATCCCTTTGCATGTAAAATACAATTAACTTTCGAGAATTATCTTTTTAGTTTCTTAAAGCTTTAAATATAGTGTCTCATCATCATTATTCACCTCTCCTACCCATCACCCTGAACTGACACCTCACATTTACCTACCTTAGAAATTTTACACCACTCAGATCAATTATTCACCTACCTTACAAAGAACCTCGCTCTTACTCTCCCATGGCTATCTCACCAAAAGATGAAACCCTAGCCAAAGATCAAGCACGCACCGTTCAGATTCAAGAAATCCCTACAGAAACCGCAAAATCCACACTAAACCAACTCCTTCTAGAACACCCTGCCTCACCTCGCTCTACTCCCTCAGAAAAAATGGCGGAGGAACAAGAGGAAATCAAAGAAGAAGATGTGGAAGAATAGGGGGTTTGGTACAAGAACAAGTCTCCTGCTATGAAGAGACTTGAGGAGCATGCGAAGCACTTTGTTACTGGTCTGAGTTTGAATCTCCCCTGGTGCAAAGCTTGTAAGTTCAACGAATTTCTCGATCTTATTGATTTTTAAAATTGGACTTATATGTTGAGTGATAGCTTTAATAAACCCTTGTATGCTGGTGTTCTGAAGGAATTTAAGAATAATTATAAGTATGAAAAAGGAAAAATCATGGGTAAAGTGCAAAATAAGAAAATTGAATTTGATGCTGCATATTTGGGTGAATTATTTGAAGTGTCGAATATTGGTTATGAGTTGTATTTCAGAGGTTCTGTTCAAAAACCCCTTCCTGAAATCAGTATTGACTCCATTGTTGAACACTACCAAGGAAATCCTAAGCTTACCTATGTCAATCACAACAACTTCACCCCTCTCCAAAAATTACTCTTCGAAATTGTGCATAATGATGTTGTTCCTCCAACCCAGAAAAGGGATTAAGCCAACAATCTTGACAGTATCTTTATGTATTTCCTTGAACACAAATTTCCCATCAATTTTCCTTACATTATGATCAAACACCTTGACCATTGCCTTCCCAGAGGCTGGAAAATTGGGTATGGAAACCTCCTCACCACTGTCTTTGAAGACTTTGGGATCTCTCAAAATATGAACCCTTGCCTCTCAAAAATAATGAATTTGTGCAAAGAGTATATTTTGAAAATCGAGGATTGCATGTGGTTTATGGGTGTTTGGAGGAGATACCTGTAAAAGAGGAAGAAATGGAAAGCCCTTAACTGAGGGGGAACAGGGGAAGAAAAAGTTGATGTTAAGGAAAGGCAGGAGGAAGAAGAAAAGAAAAAGAAAAAGAGAGAGAGGGAGAAGTAAGAAAAGGTAAAGGATGTGCAGGAAACTGGGGTACATGAAACAGGGGGGAAGGAAGAGGAAAAGTTTGAGGCTATCTCCCAAAAAGAACCCAAAGGAAGTGGAACCTGTTCATATAGACTTGGGTGATCCTGAAATGGAAAAGGTGACAGTTCCTACACCACTAGAGTCCCCATCTAAGTATGTTCTTGAAGGTATGGGATTTGCAGCTTTAAGTTCACCAGTGAAGCTTAATGAGGCATTGGCGATAAAGTTCAAGGAACTGAAGGAGGAGTTGGGAAAGGTTGTTTCTAAGCTCGAGTCAAATACCAGCAGGTTGGATGCTCTAGAGCAGTCTGATTCTGGGTGTGCTTCTGATGCTCGAGCTCTGCTGCTCCAAGTTGCTCGGGCTAGAGACGAAGCTGGCAGACAGGCGGTAGAGCATATTGAGAAGAGGCTGGATGAGCTTGCTCTTGAAGAAACGAGGCCTGAACCTGTTCCTTACCCTACCACCCTATGATGATGATGATGTTTCTATTTATTTTTCTTAGTTTAAAACACTTTTGTTTTGGGTCTGTAACTAAAACAGGGATTACTTGCTTTCTTTTGTTTGAACATGTGGATTTGGTACACTTTTGGTCGATGTTTTTACATTGGTTTTGGATGAATATGTTTTTTTTGTTATCTTTTGCGTTTGCTTGCTATGACTATTTATATGCTCTCTGCCTTATCATTAAACCATGTTATGGTGTTGTGTTTGAGATAATTTGATATATACATTGTGTTTTTGATAATGACAAAAGGGGGAAAGTACAAAGGAAAACTACTTAACACTTAATCATCCATCTCTTCTCAAGTTTTGTGTCTCTCTGGTTCTCAGTCAGGTATAAAATGAAAATCTTTTTCTTTGTCTTCTTATTATTCTTACAGTAGTTTATAGTACAGCAGTCTTTTGTTTTATTTTGCTTTTAACAGTGTGCCTAGTTTGTCATCATCAAAAAGAGGGAATATTGTTGCCCTTGATGTTTTATGATAACACAAGACAAATTATGATTAGACTAATGTCTTTATAAGTTGTGTAGTTAGGAGATTCAAGTTTCAAAGTTATTCGAGACAAAGGAACTGGAGCTCAAAAAGCAAAAGACTGGTTGCACTGTTCCTTGACAGAAACAGAAGCTTCGGAGTAGAAGCAAGAGAATGAAGACTCAAAGCAGAGGCTTCTTAAGAGAATAGATACAATCTAAAGTATTTTCATTTTAGGTTTTATGTAAGTGAAAATAATTTGAAGTTGGATACTTAGTAGACTACACATAATATTTTGCCAAAAGATAGAATTTAAAGATTGCTTAATTATAGGAAAGTTTGTTATGAAAAATATCTTTTTCTAATTTATTGTTTAAATGAATTTCTTCTTATTTTCGGAAAATTATCTTTCAAAAGAATTATGCAACGAACTTCCTAAACCTGCGTAATTGATGTTGATTAAGTCTTCTCCACTAAACGAAGAAACTGCTTCTAAGTGGTTCAACAAGCCTTGAGTGTTAGGATATGATTGAAGCACTGGAAGTGGTGGAGAATAGTGGCGCTGATATGCAGCAGTAGTGGCGCAAGTGAAGGAAGGTATGGCGTTGTATTCAAGCCATGTTTTTCTATAAATATCGAAGTTGTTTTTCTGGAAAACTTCACCCTCGCTCAATCATATTTTCTATCTTCTTAGTTTTCTAAAAAAAGTCAAGAGTCGCATTCTACTTTAGTTGATAACTTTCTTATTTTCTTTCATTAGAGTATTTCTTTCTAAGAGTTGTAATTGGGGATTGGGAGTTTGAGTGAACTCTAGAGAAGTCATTAGAGAAAGAGTGAGAAGAGAAAGAAAAGAGAAGAGCAGTAAGTTGAGGGACATACTGCTGGGAACTCTAAGTTCGTTGAGGAACTTGGAGATAAAGTCTTTAGCTTGTAATAGGTTAATTGCCCTATTCTAGTAAAGAATCTTTCCTAAAATCCCAAGTGGTCGTGGTTTTTCTTCTTGTTAGGTCCAAGAAGTTTTCCACGCTAAAATCTCTTTGTGTGACTTTGAGTTCCTTTAGCTTAGTTTTTACATTTCCGCAAAAAGTTGTCTAATTCCTCCCACACTAAAATTCACCCCCCTCTTGTGTATTCTTCTAAAGTAACACGGTGAACCTGCAAAAAGTAGGCAATGCCAGCGGTTTTGAACCGGTGTGATTGTTTTACATGTTTCGCACCCCTCAATTCTAGACCGGTTCAAAACTGGTGCGAAAAGGGGGTTATGAGCCGGTGCTGATTCATATTTTTCTACTAGTGATTGTGAATTATTAATCAACCAACATAGATTAAATAGGTTCATGATTAATTTGATGTATGTATGATCAAAAAGCACGCATGAATAATAATAAGGATTAAGTAGAGGCCTATTCAAGGGCGGGTTTAACCTCTTTGAAAGTCAAGTTCGTACCATCATCCCCAAATATCCAGTCATGGCTACACACCACTATAAAGTTAGCAATCTCTAAGACTGTGAATGGGGTGTATCCTTCACAATCGTGAACAGTTTACAAGTTCCTAAAACTTTTTGGCGCCTATCTTTCTCTATCTTCTTTTCCTCAGATCGCCGACTTGCCTAAAAACATGACCCACATGTAGGGCAAGGAAAAATTCCCTACAAGGGTTTTGAACCACTTGGCAATTGCTTTTTTCTACTAGTGTCATAATAATGATTACCCTTGGACTGGCTTAGGCGTGCCCTTCCCTTAGGCTAAAGTGCCTTTGGCAATTTTAGATTGCCTGTAGTTCATTCGTCCGTCTAATTATGTGGCCAGATGAATTTAGGGATTAGGGTCTTTAGAAATTAGGAGTCGGCCATGGAGGCCAAATACCCTAATAATCATGCCCTATTTTTAGGTCGAGTTGCTTAGCTTGGAGACACCTGTTGGGCTTTTCTCCTGGCCTTTTATCCTTGCCCCATTCTGGAGCTGAGTTGTTATGTTGTGAGTAACCATAATTTTTGTTTCAGGCTGCATTTTTGTTCGGCTTTTGTTTCTCAAACATAACTGTTCATTTAATCATAAATTTGCAATAAATTATATATAAAGAAATCGATAACAATGTATGACATTTAATTAACTTTGTCAAAATTACGTAGTTTTGGCCGTAGGGCTTTAATTACATGGATCAGTCACTACACCTAGTTGTATTTACAACTTTTTGGCTAAGTACAAAAAACTTCATACATAATATTCTTTGAGGTTGTCCTTATTCCACGTATAAGGAATTGGACGGTCGTCTAAGGCTTTGAGACGATAAGTGCCATCTCGTACTTCTTTGCTGATACGGAAGGGCCCTTCACAATTAGGGGTTAGCTTGCCGTCTTCTTTTGCTCAAACCACTGCTTCTATTTTTCTCAACACTAGGTCCCCCATCTTAAGCGGCCGCTTAGACACTTTTCGGTAATACGCTCCTGTCATCCTTAGACAATATATTCATATCTAAGCGCCGCATTGCCCCTAGCTTCTGGAAGGAAGTTTAAGGCAGTCTTCATGGCCTCCCAATTGGCCGATTCATCATATAGCATAACTCGTAGAGTTGGCTTATACATTCCAAAGACGAGAAAGAATGGGTTTCTCTTGTGGAGCGCTTCACTGTTGTTCGAATGTACCATAATACATTAACCAACTCGTCCGCCCATAGGCCCCCTGCTTTTTTCAAACTTTTGCTTGATGCCATTGGAGATCTGCTTGTTGCAGGTCTCCACCTGACTGTTGGCTTTTGGCCGACTGACTGAAGCAAAGTAGTGTGCTATGCTCCTGGTCAATGAGTCAATCTTTGAGATGGTATGTTTTAAACTATGGCCCATTATCGAACACCATAGATTATGGAACACCAAAGTGAGTGATTTGTTCTTCCAAATGAAGGAGGACACATCTTTTCATTTAATGCTTCGGACTTTCTCTGCTTCTACCCACTTGGTGAAGTAGTCAACTGCCACCAACACAACCGTCGTTGCCTTGATGCTGGAGTATAAGGCCTTAAGATGTCCACACCCCATTTGGCAAAGGGAAGAGGAATACTTATGGCCGATAGGCTGTTTACCGGACGGTGTATGAGGGTTTCAAATCTCTGGAATTTGTCACATTTTTTCACCATTTACATGGCGTCCGAATTCATGGTCGCACAAAAATACCCAAGGTGGACTCCTTTTTCAGCTACGGTTCGTCCGCCAATATGCGATCCGCAATGTCCGTGGTGGAGATCATCTAGAACATCATGCCCCCACTCGGGCGTAATACACTATATATGGCTTGACAAATGATTTTTTGAAAAAGTCTTCCCCCTTCATTTCAAACCATGATGTCTTCTTCTTCATCTTCCAACTTTTCTTTAGGTCATCCGGAAGAATTCCCTCTTTGAGGTAGGAGATAATTTCGTCCATCCACGTAGAGCTTGATTGTTTCAGATCGGGGACTTGTTGCAACGTGAACTACTCTAAGCCCTTGACCTCTTCCTTAACCATATGAAGATATTTCATCATTTTCGGCTCCCTAGCTTCATAGTCACCATTCACTTGGCTGACTATCAACTGGGAGTCTGAACACACATCAACCTTAGTTGTTCCTACCGCCTTACACATTCTAAGGTCGGCTAGGAGAGCTTCATACTCAACATTGTTGTTGGAGGCTTGAAACTGAAATCTCAATGCATATTCAAACTTATCCCCCTTTGAAGATAGACAGATGATACCAGCACCACAGCCGGTCGTTGTTGCACTTTCATCCACAAGCACGTTCTAGACCTGATCCCCTGCCGGGTGCTCATCCGACCGTGTCATTTCTGCCAAGAAATCTGCAAAGTCTTGACCCTTTATTGCTTTTCTGGTTTCAAATGATATATAAAACCCTCTCATTTCTAAGACCCATTTGAGCATTCGGCCACTTGCTTCAAGAGTTGTGAACGGGTTCTTCAATTGTTGGTCCATGTAGACTATTAATTTAATGAGCAAGAAAGTATGTTCTTAGCTTCTTTGACGCCAAAAATAGTGCCAAGACGAACTTTTCAATGGGTGGATACCTCAGTTCGGCATTGTGTAACACATGGCTAATGAAATACAAAGGGATCTAGTGGTTGTCCCTTTCAACAAGTAGGATGACGCTTAAGGAGTGATTAGAAATTGCAAGATACATGTACCGCTTTTCATCTTTGAGTGGACTGACAAGCCGAGGGAGAGTGTGCAAATGATTTTTCAGCTGAGTAAAGGCTACTTTGGCTTCCTCACTACACTCGAACATAGCTTTCTTCTTGAATGTTTGGAAAAAATAGCGACACTTGTCCCCTGATCTTGATAGAAACCGTCCGAGAGTAGCTAAACGGTCCGTCAGCCTCTGGAAATCTTTTACAGTTCTGGGCAATTTCATGTCTAAGACCGCTTGAATCTTCTTAGGGTTACCTTTAATGACGCGCTGGTCAATTAGAAATCTGAGAAATTTGTTGGACTCAACACCAAAGAGATATTTCCTTGGATTTTAACATCATCTTATGCCGCATGGTTGGTAAATGTTTCTCGGAGATCACTCAAATGGTTGGCCGGCTTCTTTGACTTAACAATCATAATATTAATGTAAGCCTCCATGTTCTACCTGATCTGATCTCTGAAGACCGCATGCACAAGTCGCTAAAAAAAGTGGTTGGGGAATTTTCCAAGCCTAACGGGATGACATTATAACAGTACAACACCTGTTCGGTCACAAATGTTGTTTTACCTTGATCGTTTTCCCACAAAGCTTATTAAGGCATGCCCGGATATTGAATCAACTAAGCAGTCAATTTTAGGAAAAGGAAAACTTATTTTTGACATGCCATGTTGAGATCAGTGTAATCAAAACACATTCGGCAAGTTTCAGTCGGCTTCTTGACTAGAACTACATTGGCCACTCAATTAGGGTAATAGCATTTCCGAAAGAAGCCGACGTCTAGCAATTTTTCCACCTCGGTCTCGGCCTCGTCCTCCTGAGTCCTTTATTCGCCATGATTTCTTTTCTTCTACCGGATATGCTTAACTACAGGGGTAATCGCTAGCTTGTGTACGTCCAAATCTGGGTTTATACTCGGCATCTCATGAACTTTAAAAGCAAATACATCTTTGAATTATCTCAAGAAAATTACAAATTCATCACCAAGCAGGCCGACTGCCATATTGCTAACCTTGACTGTCCGACCAAGCCGGTCCAGGTCCAACACAATGTCCATATGATTGCCAGCCGGCTGCGACCTCAACTCTTCTAGCTGGCCGACGGTCATTAGTTGCTAAGTCAGCTTCTTCTTAATAGACTAGCATTTTTTTCTCGACCCGCTGTTTGGAGTGACCCATTTTTTAAGTTTTTCTCGGACACCTA